TTTAAAATGATTACCTTTGGTAGAGCAGATGACCTGATAGCAACTGGGCCACACCTGGCTTCATCAGCTCCCTGCTCCTCTGGGTGGTCTTGCAGTCAAGACTATATCACACCTGGCGATGACTTCCCTGCCCGCTGAGGTGAGAACACTGTAGTGATGTATGGAAACTGCTTCTCAAGAGTCATGGCCTCCTGGCAGTTCCTCTGTAAACTGTGATGGCAGCTGTGCTAGAGGTCATGAATATTACATAAGGGCTGTCCATGCTTTCAAACCAGAATCTCCAAGCCATGATTCCCATAGCAACACACCAAGATTTTACTCATCTCAGAGATGCAGCAGCCAGTATAAGTATTCTAATGTTACCCTCGATTTGTTAGCAAGATCAACACAGTACTTATTTTTCAAAGCAGTAATTCTTTTCAAAAGAAAACCAACAACTGTGTTCAGACATGTTCACTTAAAAGTTACGGAGTATCACACACAGCAAGGTACCTTAAAACTGAACAACAACCTAGGGATGGGGAACGTCCGACCCGAGGGCCATATAAGGCCCAAGAAATCATTTGGTGTGGCCCTGCCAAGGCATTACGGGTGAGTTCATTAAATGTTTGACCAAATATAGCAGGCTAATTTTTAAGCTAATAATTTTTTATGGCCCGCAAGTGATGTTATAAATATCCAAATGGCCCTTGGCAGAAAAACAGTTCCCCACCCCTGATTTAGAAATGACTATATGGGAAAAAGAATTTAATTCACGACAATTAGTCAAATCTAATAGGGTCTCATCTAAATTCTGTACTTATATATTTCATATCTGATTTCCAGTTCCCCTTCCACATACATATATATGCATTTTATTATTATAGGATAGAAGAAACATTTTCAAATAATAAAATCCTTTGTTAGTTTATTTTTGAAAAACGCAATGTGAACCATTTTTTTAAATATAAGAAAATAATATTATAAAGCACCTATGGAGTAAAATTTGGGGGAAAGACTATTCAAATAAATACCAAAATAAACATCAACTTGAATAAAGTTTGTTTTTCTGAACAGAGAAAGGGTCTGCTGGAAAAATAAGGTAAAATCATTTTAATATTAGATACTGTTTTCTTTTCTCCTGGTATAATCAGGAATCCTTTTGTGTGTCTAAATAAACCATATACCACGGACACACGTTGCTTGAATTATAAAATAACATGGAACGCAAGACCACTCATATATCACACTTCCCTTTTCTACTAGGGAAAGAAAATAACCTCACTTTTTGTACCTCTCTTAAACCAAACACACTTCCACAGGTGGTCCACCACGGGCCCAGCACACTGGCGGAGAAAGAGCGTGGCAGGGAGAAATGATTGTACCTTTGCCTTTTCCAACTGGGCCTGGGCCTGCCGCTCTGCTTCTCTGCGCACCGCCTCCCGGTCTTCCTCCAAAGACACATCTGAATCGGATGGACGGCTGGTGTAGGAGTCTGCCGAACCCTGGAAAGGGAAATTTACATTTTAAAACAGATTCCATCTATGACGTTTGCGTTGGGAATGTTTCATTGACACTACAGTGAGCTTCCTAGATTGTGCCCCAAGTTCCTGAAAAGAGGAGAAAATAATCCACCTCGTGGCAAACCATCTAGAAAAATCATGCTCTGGTTTGCAGACCATTCACGAGGGTAGCTGTGCCTACCAAGTTACCATTCCTTCCCCAGCTTTATGTTCCCATTCATGTCCTTTCTGGAAGACAGAACAAGTCCCTTTACACCGGCTCCGTGGTGCAGTGCAGAGCTGAAGGGCGCAGATGGGTTTCAAGGATAGCTTCAAGAACAATCTGCACGTAAGGCAAGTAGTTACACCCAGGAAGAAGGCACTGCTAATAAAAAACATACCCGAAAGGTAAAGGAGTTATAAACCTCAACTCTCCAAAACCTCACTACTGTGAGCTGACTCCACTTGAATCTTAAGCATCCTTTTGCACCTTTTTATTCACCTGATACCTCCTCTGACAAAACTGTAAGACAACAGCAGTCGGCTCCACGCAATCTTTAAGCAACACATTTTTTTTCCAATACCTTTAAATAGATATTAACAAAACCTGTCTGCAGAAAACACCTGCCCGGGATTTATCTCCTCTGGCAAAGAAACCATGACACAGGAAAAGGAGCTCAGAAAATGACAGGACTTTCCCTGGCTCCCGCTCTTGCAATCAGGATCCTATTACTGAATAAAGGAGCCCGTGCCAGCACTCACTCCAATAACAGCAAAAGCAAAGGCGAAATAACGTCTCCCCACACGCCAGCCCCGGAGCTTACACAGATATCCGAGTTCTTCAGCCTTCCTCCCTTGGCTCTTTTCAGAAGCCTGATCCAGGTGGCCTTCATTAGCCAGACAGCGCCTTTCCCATCCGCAGCTGCAGCCCCGGGCACGGATCCTCAGCGCGCGCGGAGCCCTGCGGAGCAGCCTCCGCGCCTTCCCCAGCCATGCTCCGGCCAAGCCCCTCTTCTCGGTCCCTTTCTGCCTCCGGGGCTTGCACTCCCTACCCCGGGGGACTCCAATCCGAGGGGATTCTTATCCTCCCATTCCAGAGGGGGAAACGAACACTGGAACGCTCTAGGTTGCTTTAAAAATAAAGAGCACCTCAAGTGCGTTCAAAGACAGGCACCAACTCGTTCTGAAACTTAATGTATCTTCCTACCCTGCAGAGTCTCTTCCTGCTCATAGATTGCTAAAGGAAATTGGTTGCAAGAGAACCTTAAAAAAAAACACCAAAGCACCTAGTGCAAAACGTATGCAGTGACATTTGCAAGTGCAAAGTTCAAGCCTTATCTTCAGAGATCTGGAGGGGGAGGCGGAGGACGCACGCACCGCACTGGGCATGCTCCATAGGTAGCCTTTTCAGGCGGATGCTCACATCACGCACACTGTTAGTCTGTGTCAAATTGCCATTTGCATCCGAAGTGTAAACAGCTGGAAAGGGTTTTGGTTCTATAGTAACCGGCACAAGGTCTGTTTGTCATGTTTATGTTTCAGATAAAACATTCTCTCAAAAAGACAGCATGTAATCTTTTCATGTAAGGATCCATTTCCATTAACCTGCTTACAGAAAGTCTATCCTATGCCACAAGGCAATGCATAGACCATATTATGTACATTATTGGACAGCAAAAATCAAATAATGCTCAGGAACTGTCATAGCATACTGCTCGTGCTTGCCTGTGACTTCCCAAGCAAGATGCAAGAGAGAAATTTTCACATTTAATTAGGGCAGGAGAGGAATCACAGCTCCAAGCCATGAGCTTCACTGAGCTCAAAATGACTTTGAAATGCTTCTCCCACTGAGAAACTGCCGCTTGAAATAAAGTCACTGGAATACATAACTGTGTGAATTGTTATCACAATAATTATGAAGAAGATTCAAAGCTCGGTTGGTTTATTAGCTTGAGTTAGGAGTCATGAAACAATTTAGTCCAAATTCGTCTTATGAATAAGACAATTGAGATTTGAGAAGGAAATGTATTTAAGTTTTTAATATCCTATAGTAGTGGAATTACATTTTTAAAGTTTATTTATAAACTTTATTTATAAACTGTTTTCAGGTTTCTTAAAGTAAACAAAATTCTATCATTGCCTTCTAAGCTGCATTTTTGTTTGAGTGTGGTAAGGGAGTTACTTTGTAAAGTTTTATGTAAATGAAAGAAAACCACTCTTAAGAATTTCTCCCTTTTCCTCCCTTCCTTTCTTCTTTCATCCTTTCAACTCTGGGCCAAGACCAGTTTTCATGACATCAATGTTAGGAAATATAGAATATGAGTTTTAGAACAAAATAGATTGAATGCACCTTAATTGCGGTATAATTACATAAATTGATATTAAAAAGATTACATTGTTAGCAAGTGAATGTAAAATGCATGGAGGATACAAAGTTCATTCCAATTTTTTTGTTTAAATAAAATTCTCAAGGGACATATGAGTCTTTCTACACAGACACACATGCTTAGGGGCTCCCCCATCTTCCCAGAACATTCCCTACAGCAGGGGTAGCACAGTAGAAAATTACCAAGAAGCACAATTATGCCACATAAAGGGCCTCAGTCCCCACTGTCACTGTGCTGGCTGGCATTTTAGACCCAATCACTCTGCCAAAAGCTCAGGTCACACCTCCTGGAGGACACACAATTCTGTCATAAAGAAACCCATAATGACAGGAAGAGGATTAACACACACACAATGTATGTGATCTCTCCCTTTTAAACAAAATAAGATTTTAAAAGTCCTTTGCTAATAATCAGAGGTAGCTTTTAATTGCACAGTCATTTTGAGACCTGTTTCCAAGCTTACATTGTTTAAAACAAAACCCTACATTGACGTTGGCAATTATCTTTTGAATATTTGAGACACTATATTAACCTTTAATGATTTTACAATATGAAATATGACCATGAACTGTAGCTTATTAGTGGGGCGTATAGGAGCCACATTATTTTCACACCTTGTACCTGTAATAGTATATACTTTAAAAATACTTTTTCATTATAGAAGTTACATATCCCATAGTAAAAAGAGGAAGACACAAATGAGGTCACCTTATATATCCTCTCACCAAAGAGAGCCACTATTAAATAGTAGCGTGGGTGGCCTCCAGAGTTCCTGCAATTTTGAAAGTCACCCTCCCAACATGTGCATTACAATTCATCTCCTTCCTTCTGGGAGTGTGGCTACGTGCAGTTAAAAGTGATATATCTAATTAAGCTTTGCCTTTGGTACCATATGGACTTTCTGGGTCATTCTGCCTCAAGTTGTCTTTAGTCAAGAACAGCTGGCAGTCATTTCCATTAACTCCAGAACAGGTTTATTACAAGATGTACTCTTGATCTCTCACGTTCCTACTGGCCTTTTGTGGTATTTGTCCTTAACAGGTACATCACACGTTCAGCTACCCACGTTTCCTTTTCTGCATCTTGATGTTCTTATTCCTCATTGTACGGTCCCAAAATACAACTAACACCTAATGTCTACCAATAATTCATTCAGAATCTTCTATTTTTATCCTCAGAACTCTCACTCCAAATACGTGTTCTTTGCTTTTAGGAAATTTTATTTTAATGGGATTAAATTGTACTTTTAGCTACTCTTCAACTTCTGTTTCTTCCCTCTAAACACTTTTATGTCAAGTATTGGCACAAAAATTATCACCTTTTCCCTTAAGCATTTTTGTTTTGGTATTTAGAACTTGCTTTTTTGATGTTGTACTCTTCTGTTTAACAGTCATATATTTCCAGCATCAGTTATCTTCAGTGTTCTCTTGTTTTATCTTTTAAAGCCAAAAGGATGAGAGTCATACACCTATTCAGGAGGGATATTTTTGATCCCAAATTGTTCATCTATTTCTGTGCAAAATTTTCATATGAAGTCTAAAGCAAAGCTCTTGGGCAAAATCAATTTCTAATAGTATCCTAAGGTCACCAAATTCTAGACAAAGCTATATTCAACCAAACTATGTCAGGCTTCAAACGACCTTCTCATGTAGAGGATTATGTTAAATCAATGGCATATCTGACTTGTTTCTTCCTGACCTGCCATAGGATAGACAGACTTCCACTGCCATTGTGGTCCGGCCCACATTTTTAAAGGAAAGCATTATGGGATAGACTTCTGAGTACAAGGCATGAGGGGAAAGGGTCTGTCTCTTGTATTGTCTGCTTGTGTTGGCTGGGGGTGATAATTCCTTCATTTTTCCTACTGTCATCTCTTCCCACAGTTGAAAATAATTAACTTTATTTTTTTCTGTGCAGAGATCTGGGTCTCTCTAAGAAAATGAATTGCTCTTCATGCTTTGTTGGTTTCTTCAGTAACAAAACTATGCACTTTTAGGTTGTATGAGTTCCCTGTAAATGTTGGAGATTAAACCCTTATCAGAGATAACATTGGCAAATATGTTCTCCCATGCAATGGGCTTTCTTGTTGTTTTGTTGATGGTTTCTTTTGCTGTGCAGAAGCTTTTTATTTTGATGTAGTCCCATTTGTTTATTTTCTCTTTAGTTTCCATTGTCCTAGTAGCTGTATAAACAATCCAATAAAAAAAATAGGCAAAGGACCTAAATAGACACTTTTCAAAAGAGGACATACAGAAGGCCAAGAGACATATGAAAACATGCTCAAAGTCACTAATCATCCGAGAGATGCAAATCAAAACAACAATGAGGTACCATCTCACACCTGTCAGAATGGCTATCAACAACAAATCAACAAATGACAGGTGCTGGCAAGGATGCGGAGAAAAAGGAACCCTTGTGCACTGCTGGTGGGAATGCAGACTGGTGCAGCCACTGTGGAAAACAGTATGGAATTTCCTCAAAAAACTAAAAATGGAACTCCCATTTGACCCAGTGATCCCACTTCTAGGAATATATCCCAAGAAACTAGAAACACCAATCAGAAAGGATATATGCACCCATATGTTCATAGCAGCACAATTTACCATAGCTAAGATC